CAGAAAGGATTTTTAGTACAGGAAGCAACATTGTTACCTGCAAAAGAGCATCAACCAAGCCTGAGACCGTAAACCAGTCTTCTTAGCAAAACACCTGTAGCGTGTCAAAGCAAATGCGTGCTTTCTTTTTTGTAACAGAAAGAAGGTCCAAATGATTCTAGATACAGTTGTAATCAAGATTTTTTAGAGATACAAAATAAAGGTACATATTGATTACCAGCATGACAGACTTGGCATTGTTTTATGTTTGTACTTTAGCATACTTGCACAGTTAAACAATACACAGTTTGTTGATTTATTTTCTTTTTTAATTTGAGGCACTACATGTGCTAACATTCTGAATACTTGAAAAATCCAAAACCTGTTACATTTTAAGTGTGTTTCTTTTAGATAAAAGTTTTTATCATAACAAAACTATGAAGAATGCAGCCCAATTTGGCTGGGGGCAGTCCATTTTTCAGGCTTTCTAATCTTCCAAAGTGTTAATAAAGAAAAAAACATCTTAGAATCTAATGAATGAAAATATTCTTTTATAGAAACATTCACAGAAATGAACCATTGAGTTAGTTGTAGACTTTTTTGGATAATACAAGTTTTATTCACACATCCAGGACAGATAATGCACATTTCCCGTCTAGCTAATTGATGTTCCTGGCAGTTTCTTGAAGATTACCATTGCTGAGGGGACCAAGCCTGGTAGGGTTCTTTTTAGCAGATAACTGATCTATTAAAAACAATACAGAGGCAGTTGTTAAGTCAAACATCTCTGTGAATTAATTTTATTATAACTATTAACTTTTTTTTTGTATGGGTAACAATGTCATAAAATGAAACAAATATACCAAACAGACTATAGGTAATTTCTAATTTTCAAGAAAAGGGTCATGGGGGAAACAACAGTGAACCATATGTACATAAATTAAGAAAAACTTGATCAAAAATCTTTCAGGAAAACATTTCTCTGAATAACATGGAAAGGAAATACTGTAACGTACAAGAAGAAAGGCAATTGTCACATTTGCAGCTGCAAGGAGAGCTCTCTTCACAGGAGAATCTGGATACCCTGGTTTGGCTGTGTGGACATAGTCCACGAACCCCCTCTACACAAGAGATAGAGAGAAGATAAAGGGGGGACATCCAAGCAGGGACGGGTAGAAGCAAACATACGTGTCAGTGACGCAGTCCTACATTTTCCCTACTTATTGATTACCATGGAAGGAGAAACATACATATACCTCAGGCTGACAGGTTGAAATATCAAGACGGATATTTCAGGAACAAAATTTTGTGTAACAAATTAACCCTGAATTCCTTTAAAAAGTAGCATTTACCAAGATAACTATAAATGAATCTCTGGTATCAATATAACTAATGAGATATTAGGCTTTGTTCAATGAAACACAGCAGAAACGCTGAGCAAAATGCTGAGAACATGTTCTCCCAGATTCCACATTCTTGGAATACTTTGGTGGTATAACCACCTACTTTCAAACACAGTCAAGACAACCACGGGAAATATATATATATAACAAGAAACTACATAAAAGGAGCAGTTTTTTATTACAAAATTACATGCACCTACCCAGCCTCCATTCTGGATAATCCATTCTTCTTTTTCTCCAAGAAGAACATCAGTAATCATTTCTGCTAGCCGTCTGCTGCAGGCAACGTCTTCATCTACGTTAGAAAGTTGAACTGCCAGTATTCCCGTGAAGGCGAATAGAGTAACAATCTGGCTCCAGCTCATACTTTCATGACCAACCATTTCCAGCATCACATTCTTGAGTTCAGTCCAGGTGTTAAAGCCACTGGTGATGAAGAAAAACCGCACAAGACGGCGCAGTCTGAACTCATACTCCTTCTCCACCTCCTTTGCCATGTATCGCATGGCTTTAGCTGACTCGCTGGGAGGTGTCCTCTTGATCCCAATGCAGAAGTCCATATAGTCGTTTGCCACCATAAGGGTTTCGTCCCTCAATGAGGTGGCCATATTCACTGAAAAGAGAGAACAAGAAACACTGTTATGCTTTGGATACTCTACAACTGGATAATTATTGGCTGCAAAAAATACAACAATAAAACCATATTTTTGGTGAAAATAAAGTAAACTTTCACGTTAAATTCCTTCATGACGCCAAAGAGATGCAATTTTGAGAGGGACACATGAAGCATTTTTTTTTAATCACTGGTATAAAAATATATCCTCCTGAGACCCCACCCATTCATTTATGTCCATTGTAGTGGACATTTTGTTTTTGCATCTGTCTTTTCACTGATGTAAGGAAACATATTTATTCCTGTTGTACACTAAAGAGGACATGCTGTGAAATTAAAAATAAAAATAAATTTGAAAAAATCTAAATTGTAAGATGTCTTATTTCCTCCAAAGACAAATAACCTAAAATTGAAGGACACTTTTTTCCTTGGGTCTCAGGAGGATATAACAATAATATACATCACATTAATATACCGACTCCATGACACCATCCATGCTATTACATATACATAGAGACCATAACTATTCAGGTACCTTCCTCCTGCTCTGGCGTTTTCCTGAACCGCCGGTAGAGGTACGCTGTGCCGGCGGCCGCAGCCATCACTCCAGCTGCACACGCAAATTTCAACATTCCCATCTTCTTATCGGAGGCGAAATGAGAATTGTCTCCTATCCCGCAGTATAAATAGGCGTCTGTGACATGAATTCTGGAAGTTCTAAACAACGTCAAAAAAACTTGCAATTTACGTCACACCGTCCCGCCCACTGGAAGCAAAGATCGTCATCTGATAGGGGTGTAACGATATTACAAACCGAACCGAAATATCGCGATACACCAACCACGATACGTATCGCGAAACTCTCGTGGCGTACCGCGGTACTCTCACGCCCCCTGCTGCCCATCGTTGAGGTTGACGTCACTTGTCTCTAACTAATTTAACCAATTTAAACACATCTTTATTTTATCACATTTGATTAAATGGTATTAGTAATGATGAGCTTTTGTTCTAAATTTTGTTCTAAATATTATATTCTAAAGTTAGTATTAGAATTGTTTTTTTCTGACTACTCTATATTGGAGGTATTTATTTAATTTTTGTTGTTTACTCAGGTATCCTGACTGTACTAAAAATGTGATGGCAAAGTTAATAAAGAAAAAGTTTAGATGTTCTTGTTATTAAGCGAATCTATTGTTCCTTAGCATTGCTGTTAAGATGACATCAACCCTAACCCCACAGCAAACAGAAACCGAACCGAACCGAGGATCCAAAACCGTGAACCGAACCGAATCGTGCCTTTGGTGTATCGTTACACCCCTATCATCTGACATGTTGGTGCATTTCGCGCATGGTCGAAACACTCCGTGGGTAAAAGTGATGGGCGAATATTTTATGACATTTCATCTAAAAGATTCGTTATGATTCATTCACCAACTCGTACAGTGGCAATTCTTGTTTGCCTAAAATTGCTCTGAAACACCTGTTTTCCGATATGTCAACGAAAAAATTGCTAAAGAGCAAGCTAAATACCACAAATAAGCGGGGTTGCCTACTTTGGTCAGTTGGCTGGCGTGAGGTTTTAAATTCGAGTTAAGTCTGCACACGCATTTACATGTAGGTAACAGTTTTTGTAAGGTTTGCAAACTATCCCCACGTTTTGATGTAGCTAATTCTATAGGTTTATAATGGAACGATATATATTTGTAATTTGTATTGAAATCTGTAAGATTTCTTGCGTGAGTCTGAAAGCGTCAGTGTCGCCAGATACATGAGAGTTTGCAACCCTGAATAAGAAATGTGAGAAGCATTTTTTTTTTTTATTGAATTATATGTCTCTTAACATTGTACCTTAGATTGTCATGTCGACCTGTTAATAGCGCAAACCTA